TTTCACCGTTTACAGGCATTTCAAGAAATGCGTTTTAAAATCGAGTAAAATGCATTTCATTGAAAATCATCGATGGGGAAATGTTCTTCAAACACATATTTTGCTAGTTGAGGTCACTGATACCAGGTCAGGTCACAGAGGTCAGGTCACTGGGGGTTCACAATATGAAAGTGTCGTGTGATACGTGTTTTATGGTCCATTTTACATGACAAATGCGATTATGTGGGTCAGGCAGCCTTTGGGGCCAGCTTAGGTCACGTTCTGGTCAAGGTCAGGTCAAGTTCAGGTCAAATTTCAAAGTTGATATTTTTGCATAAAATGGGTATCGAATCGACGCAGCTCGTCACGGGGAGTTCAATGGTGGTCTTTGTTTTGCCGTACGAGGTCTAGAATCGCTAAAAAATGAGTTCAAAAATTTGACATCATCATTTTTGAACAGTTTTTTCGCTATAACTTGGCCAAAAAACGAGATATCGATCTGAAATTTGGCATGTATATAGAAGAGCGCAGGGACTATCACATATATTCCGGTTTTTTCGAAATTTTGAAAATTTTTGATTTTTTTAATTTTTTCTAAAAAAACAATTTTTTGATTTTGTTTTTGTCAAAAACCCAAAATTTTGAAAATCCGAGATAGCAGTTTTGTAGCGCCGCTTTTTGTCTACTAGACCATATAAAGAACTTTGAAATTACTTGATAACTGTAGATTTGGTGAGCGTTTAAAGATTGCATGTTTTTTTTGCTCATTTTTGCTCGAACATGACCTCAGTTTGACCTCAATAACTCCTGACCTAAGGTGACCTAAGACTTGAAATTTGGTGTTAAGGTGTCAAATTGATGCCCGGGAAGGTACTGAAAATTTGGCGGCGCTGCGCGCGGCCGTTTTCTTGCTATTCAGGAAAAACCACAGGGGGGGGGGCCAAAATGCCCCCCAACGGGGCGAGGGTAATAGGATATTGTGAACTATCATTTACACCATTTTGCATCAGCCTTATTATTTATAATTTATTTATGCAATTTTTGACATGAATACTAGACATGATAAAAAGAAGCAATATCTGTAACATGTTATAGTTCTTGATTAAAAACAATTTTACTGTTTACAAGTTTATTTGCTAACTCTTTTTAGCGGAGGTACCGCTGGTGGTGAAGTTTAGTGAAATCCGATTTTACATAGTTTGCAAAAATACTTATGAATTGTAAAGTTCAAACACTTGCAATCGCAAGTTTTTAGTGAAACAGGCCTCTGATAGTGGTATTTTGCATCGTTTATTTCGAGCTATTAATGATGCTTTCGTCAATCGTGTTTCCCATACCTGCTACATTGCATGATTAAATCGAGACATCCAGGCATTTAAACGGCACGTGCACTGTACCACACTTTTCAAAGTTTAATGCAATGCTTTAATATTACAAGCCGTGTGGTTCAAGGGGTGTGGTTAAACACGTTGAACCACACGGCTGCTGACGTCACTATCATATAGTTGTGAGCTTTTTGGCAGGTATGGGAAACACCTTCCAGCCCTAAGGCCGGGAATTCAATAAATGTCACCTCGCTTTTTTAGCAAAATCACCTCGGGCCTAACGGCCCTCGGTAGCAAAACCTCGGTGACATTTATTGAATCATCCCGGCCCCGGGCAGGAATATATTTACCTGCCTATACTATCGTCCAGCCCCCGTTCACGAGCTTCAGAATTCCTTTACCGTGACGTCATCACGGCGCATGAATTTTCCTTCACCCATAGAAATGCATGCAAAGCATGGTGTGTTTCAGGCGGGCTAAGGAGAAATGTAAGGCCTACATGTGTTCAAAAGACGTACCACTAAGCCAATGGATTCGTCTCATTACGATAAATGGGGTTGAAATCAAAACATTCGGCCTATATTTATCTAAAATGGGCCAATCAAATGGTCCCTGCAACTCATAATGAAGGATTTCCTCTGCGTTGAAAAATTTGTTTCAAGTGTTTTTTCATCAGCGACAGGGGAAATCCTTCATAATTGCTACCAGATTACTACCATATTCCCTCGCATTTCTGTTGCGCATTGCCTCACAAATCAGAGTTTTGTGAAGTTTATATTAATTTAATTGTCATATTTTGACTGATTTTGGCGATTTTCAATTATTTCAACGCAGCATGGATCAGATAGCTCTCATAGTTTGCTGAAGAATGTGGCTTTTGCTTGGTTATTTTCAAGTTATCTGTGAATTGGTGCGCCGTGATCGTAGCATTATACAAATTATATCAACTTTAAAAATTGAATCAACTTTTGAAGTGAAGTTCACATGAAAAATCAAAAGTTCAAGCATAATAATTGTTTAAACATAATGATGCAACATGTGTCTCCCAGATGGAACTTATATTTCCATTGAAAACTGAAAATGGAAAACAGAAGATGGATCTGCGGAGTTACTGAGATCACAAGGTGCTCTTGATTGTTGGTAATAGAAGATGTTGAGAGAACTTGTGAATCTGCATACCAGTCCTGACTTGCTTGATTGTTTAACACTATTTTAATTCTCATAATTGTGTAATGTGTAGTGACTGTGCACACTGCGCAGCACATGTGCGCAGAAATGTGCAGGTGGCTGGTAGGTGGGTTCAACTCCGGAGATGCGAATTTGGATGTCAGTTATAAAATTAATGGTTATGCCTTGTAGAGTAAGCTCTGCTGTTTT